CAGTCGGCGTGAGACGTTTCCCTCCTGACCCAGTAGATTATACTTCCTTTCCATAGATCAACTTTAGAAATTTACTTTTCCTTGCGCACATAGGCCAGGCCAATCGGAAATAGCGGTCCGTCCCGTAAACTGGTCACAGCCCTGAACGCGTTTTTTTTCGGTAAATCGTCAACATGTGCTGCTAAGCTCATGCGCAGTTTAAATCTCAGAATTCTCACTCTGGACCTTCTGTTATTTGCATTCCTGTGCTCTTGCCAACTTTCGTCCAAAGTGCATTTTCCGCCCCCTAATCACTCCCGGACATTCTTCCTTCTCCCCACCACAATTTTAGTTGGAATGTGATTATCGGCTACACATTCTGCGTGATTCTGGCCAAGTGCGCCCTGCAATTGATGGGCTGCGTCTACGCCGATCGATTTGTTGGCGCGCGAAGCTGTTGGCTCATGCAGCTCTTTGGCGTCACGTGCATGAACCCCGTTGGCTGGAACGACTATGTGGCCATCAGTAAGTCTCCTTGACGATTTTGTCACAGTGCTGTCATTTGACTTTGTCTGTCTAAACCGCCCTCACCAATCAACCCCCCTTTTACCCAGCTATGTTCACCTGGCGTGAGCTGACTCTCGTCGTTCATACAAGGAGACATGGTGGAGTCGGTGGGTTCAGCTGTCAGTTTGTGCGAGTTTGTTATGTTCAAAAGCAAACCGGTTTTATTTAATGTTTCACGAGCAAAAATGTGTTCTTCTCTGCGGCCTTCTGTTGCGGATAATTTCGCCGTAGCTTTGCTTCTAGTCCTCTGAGATGTTTGTCAGTTACGCACAGTGCCTTCAGAGAAGGTTAACTGCTGCAGACGTAGGTTCTCGGGTCTGAGGAATAAGTGGTCGCGAATGGCTAAAACGCCTTTCCTTAACGTAATGCTCCAAAATCCTGCGATCGCATTGTAATATGGTGATTGTAAACAGCCATCAGATGGGCTTAGTTGTTACCATGGCGTTGTCGACGGCTGTTTGGG